GCCTTCAGGTGCGAGCTCTTCGTATAGGTCTTCGTGCAGCCGTCGTAAGAGCACGAGTGATGAGTGACTTTCTTGCGGCCAGTGCTGCGTCGGCCGCGTCTCGATTTGGGCGCCACTACTGGTGTGACGGTCGGCGCTATTATGTTGACGACAGGCGCAGGTTGTTGCGATGGATTGTATGGACTCGAGTTGGAGTAGTGATGAATGTCGACATGTGGTGACGCCGGCGGAGTAACTATGCCTCTGATGTAGGGAACGGTTGGTGTGGTTGTATAACTGTGTGGAGTGCGTTGGGATACAACAGACCCCACGTTTGGATACTGTTTGTTAGGATACTGTTTGTTAGCATTGTCTGTGCAATGGATGGAAACTTTGGAAACATCACTATTAGGGCTAATATGATAATTATTAGCGTTTGTCTGATACGAGTGCTGCTTCTCATTCTCAGGTGAGGCCGGCGGCGATATTTGGCACTGGAGTACAGATGGCTTACTATATGGATAGTGACCCGAATTCCAGTGCAGATAAGGATTGTTGTATTGATCACAATAATAGTTTGTCGATTGGTTTGCCTGTTGTAATGATGGCATCCAAAGCATCGGGTCTTTGGCACCGGTGTTGGCCATACGAGTGGTGCACTGCATCTGATGAGATGGTTGTGAGCACTGTATCGGCGGTTGTGTTGCAGACCATTGCGAGACATTGCAGTAGTTGTTCTCGACGTACGGCACCGACTGTTCGTATGTCTCGTTTTGGTGGTAATCGTATTCAGACTTTATTTGATTGTATTCTTGTTTCACATAAATATCACTTGTATTCAAGTGTTGATGAGTTGGTTGTGGTGTTTGTGGCGGAGGCTGTGTTTGTGAGAGGATATACCGGTGGGTCTCCGATGTTGGCGTGTATTGCGAACCATCACTGATAAGGAGCACACTTTCAATGTCCTGCCACATCTGATGGACAGACAGTCTTTTATTTATGGATTCAATTAAATCACAGCTTTTATCAGTATTATACTCACGTCATGAAAGTCCGTCATTTCATTACTCATTTTGTGAGGCAGTGGTGACATAACTGACATTACGGACAGGTATACCGTATTGATGGCAAATATCTATAAAAATAATCAAATATATGTTACTTATTCATTGAGAAACTTTTGTATGCTACGATTGCATAGAATTCACATTCATTATATAGAAATTGTTATCACACTGTATAGGAATCTACACTATATTTACTTTGCATTAGTTTCAATTTGGAAAATTAACACAAAAATTGAATATAATATCAATTTAAGATTTATTCTTAGAATATAAAATCATTAGTTCTTAAATATTCCGTGACATGAGTTTCAATGCAATCGACAGAATTTGATAATTATTTAATGTATAGTTTTAAACAATTACAGAATAATAGGTTCAGACGTTTGGCGATCGTCTTTCAAACAGTAGAGTCGGGAAAAACAATTTACGTGAATCACGTACTAAACAAAAGGCCACACGAGTGAGAGCTCAGGGCTACCACATAAACATAAGGTGCACCCGAAGGGGAGAACCACCAAAACGCTCAGCTTCTCAGTTGTGCGAAGTCTGACACTCAGTCTCTCTCTCACTATTGCTCTTAACTCTGGGCTCACGAATAGTCTCTACTGTTGTGTAACAGAGATATTAGGGATCGCTTTAGCCCTAACTCACCGACTATTTCAATGCCTGTACGGCTGAAAACATTCACAGCACATACACTCTCAGGTATAGACTCTGTGTTCCCTTTTTTCACTGATGTAATGGACAGGTATTATATGTTGAGAGCGAATACAGCGTTCATTTCAGGGCAAAGAAGAATGAGGTTTTTCAGCCGTTGTGTCGGAGTCTGTGCCGCCTTATGCCCACCTCAGAGGCGGTCGTCCGCACCGTAACATAAGTCACATCGATTTGGCAGCAAAACGTCTGATGGTATTAACTCTAACACTGATATACCGTTCCGTTTGCATCCATTCTTATACTCAAATCGCTGGCATTTATCATAAATGCAGACCATTTGCTGACTATAATAGCCGTACGAAATCATACGTTATTTTCCTATCTTTTGCTTCTCGTAAGATATTTTGTCCCAAAAATGGTTTTCAATATATTGTGTTAGCGTTTGTCCTACAATTTGCTGAACGCTTATCACGCGGTTTAATGACTGCTTAGGAATCGCTTTTTATTCTTTCTTTTAAACTATTTATTAAATATTATAAACAAAAGTAACAAAATTCTCAATCATTTCGCGATACAGTCGGAGACAACGCTAAGAAAAAACAAACGAATATTTCTTATGATTTGTCGATTGAAATCAATTTTGTAAAATAATTATCGTTATATAGTGTGGGCTCTCATATGCGGTGAATTTGTTACCCCATCGCAGCATTTATTCATATAATATCCCACGCGTTGAAAGTGTTTTTTCAATTTTACAACTTTTCTGTCTGTCTGTCCCCTCCGTATCACGAAAACAGATATTATCCCAAAAAGATTGAAAGAGTCATTCAGTCGATGCCATAGCCTTTCCGACTCTGGAAAAAGGGAATCATAAAAAAGCATAAAATAAAGGACTCATAAATACAATGAAAAGAAATGCAAACATTGGGTTCAATAATATAATCACAAAAAATATATTCAGTTTTCTCTCACAGACGAAGAGTTTGTTGTCTTTTAGATTAGTTATGTGTTGAGGATATTCGGTAGAGCGCCGGACAGTCTTCTATGTAGTGCTACATTGTGTGCACAACTCTATGCCTGTGTCTCTCTCTGTAATACCTGTGCCATGAGTACTACAGGTGCGCTATTGAATAGCCCGGAAATATGACGATAACTGAGCGCCGGATGTCTCGTAATACTCGCTGCTGTAATCGGCAGTGAGTGTGACGTCACGGCTGTCCGCACATCCATTCAAAGTATCTTTAAATATGAGTTGATTGGAGCGCAGGTATCCGAGAGCTGTGCTATACTCTACTCCTGCCATACATTCCTGAAAAGCACATCCATTAGTGACATCAACTGTATGTGCGTTCAAAGTGATGGGACCTCTACTCTGCATAGATACTGAATTTGTATTTTGTTTAATGGTATGAAAGTACCGGTATATGGATGTAGTGGTTAAGCATAGGTACATACAAGTGGCACATCGACTGACCGTGAAATTAATGTTTCGATTGCATGCTTTCGGATATATTTTAAATTTATATATAAAATGCACACATTTTTCACATATTTCTCCTAATTTTTTGTTCCAAAAATTTACATTTCATTTGTATTTTAAAATTTAGTTTTGATTATTATTTGTCGTGAAACAACTTTATTAGTTATTTCCATTAAACCATGCCTTTTAAACAATTTTCAATTAATTATTAATTGAGTGAATGTCATATAAAAAAGTATTTACAATTCAATACACTTGTGAATGAATTGGAAATGAATTTCAATATGAATAAAATTGTTATTCCCATTGAATGTTAATTTATAGATATATTTGTTAATCACTATTTTCTGAACATATTCTTAGATAATCGTGATTGAAATAAAATCATAAAATCTTTTACCTTTAATTAATGAAAAATCTTTAACCATTAGAGTAGATAATGATCTGATTTCAATTAATTAGTAAAAGTAAAGTACACTCTTATCTAATAAATATTGATTTAATTTTTAATGCATTTTATACGACACTATAATCTTAGTCTAATGTCACAACTGATAGGAAGTCTTAACTATAAATAATTTCTGGTTTATTATACAAATACAGGCCTTAATGTTGTGCTATATATTGAAGTCAAACGCGTTTAGAGTCTAATAGTTTGTAATGTTTTTAATAAATTGTTTTGAGGAAAGGTTTTTGATTAAAAAAATTTCTTTTTTATTATTCATTCAGATATTCTCTAAATTAAGTTTTAAAAGAAGTGATCCTTTCTATTAAAGTCGACGTTTTTTTCATAATTTTTCTTAATTTATTTTTATAACTATTAATATTTATTAAACAACAAAACAAATCCAATAAATAATCATTTAATGCATTAATAAAAAGAGTAAAATATTATAAGAAATAAAAGTCTAGATATTATTTGAGATTGAGTTTTGAGATAAATTCGTTTCGAGATAATAATCAAAACGAATTAATAGTCGTATAAATCAAATCTTTCGGATAAAATCACATTATTTTTACAAAAATTGTGAAATATTTTTTATATCACAAGTTTTGAAAATATTGGCCATTATTTTGATTGGAATTCTCACTTTAAATAATTGAGAAAATTAGATAATTTTCAAAAACACATTAAAAACTTTTATTATTTATTATGTAATTTATATTAAATAGATTTAATATTAGTTTAAATATAGATTACTTTTGATCTCATAATTAATAGATTTAAATAAAAGCAATTTATTTATGACATTAGCTCTTGACGACATGTATAACAGATTTCATATAGGTTATAAAAAAAATATAATTTAAATTTAATAAATAATAAATTTCTTAATGTGTCATCTTGTTTATTGTGAATGTAATCCTAAAGGAAATACATAAATATATAGATTTTTATAAATATATAAAACGATTTAAATGATTACAGGAAAGGTATTACTGATTGAATGACTTCTCATCCGATGTTTGACTGAATATTATCAAAGAAAGTGTGAATGAAATGCGTTATAAATATAATATATAATTTCAATTCAATTCAATCGACTATATTCTGGCCTTTTTTGGTCGTAAACTACTCTGTGTTTAGTCACACATACACTCTATTATAGTATTTATTGAATTTCGTTCACACCGTCGGCTCTTTGGATATAAAGAAATGATTTGCGAATTAAAATTAAGGGGAAGTCATCAATAGGTAACCCAAACACTACTAACACTCAAACGCTAAGCTTAATATGTAAAGCTATGTTACAATTGCACCTAATCTACAAATTAGTGTCTATTAAATCGGGGTTTCTTTTGTCAATTCGTATCGCTATTGAAGCGCCGGGATCTACAAAAAAATAGTTGTGTTGTTGCTCTCAATAAATGCATTTCCATACCTATCGATACTATTATTTATTCAAAGGAAAACCACATTTGAAAAATCGAGAGTCCGTACAAGGATTTAATATTATGGTTAACCGTGGAGTGGATGCTATGTTTTCTCACAGTTTGCCCACAAATAAACTGTTAGAAAGGAAAACAATACGCAAAATGTGATGAAATGATGCGTAAATCCGAGAGATCTGAGCGGAAACTTTTGCCGCACTCTTGAATCCATTGCTAAAAAATCATAAAAAAAACTAGAAGTGAGTTATGAATACATTTTTTGTGGCACTTGTTTCCACTTATAGTTTTATACTCCACTCGTTATTAGCATAACATCTCCACAATACTAATCATTATATGTGCTGTTAATTAGCATTTATCCACACATTTACTTCACTACTCCCTCCCCTCCTCCCTTCTCCACTATCCATCACTTGTTTATTACTGCACCACAACCGGAAAAAGGGGGTAAATATTCATTTGAAATACACATAAAAATAAATAATATAAATAATAGTAAATCATGGTAATATTAACCAAAAATTGTTTAAATAATGGAAATTTTATTGTTTTTATTCTAAAAAGTGACCCAAAATTTGTTTTATAACTTTTGGATACATTAAAACAAATAGCAATGCATCACATGATTATTGGTCTTGTCTTCCAAGTAGTCCTACATATAAAGCAAAAACATTTAATGAATATTATTTCCTATTCTTTTGTCTCGTTTTCTAAGTCTATTCCCTCTTTCCATCGGATCTCACACAGGATTTGCCTCAAAATCTCTCATATATTTAAAAATAAATAATATAAATAATAGTAAATCATGGTAATATTAACCAAAAATTGTTTAAATAATGGAAATTTTATTGTTTTTATTCTAAAAAGTGACCCAAAATTTGTTTTATAACTTTTGGATACATTTTTGCTTTGTCTATGCATTGCAATCACATTAAAACAAAAAGTAATGCATCACATGATTATTGGTCTTGTCTTCCAAGTCCTACATATAAAGCAAAAACATTTAATGAATATTATTTCCTATTCTTTTGTCTCGTTTTCTAAGTCTATTCCCTCTTTCCATCGGATCTCACACAGGATTTGCCTCAAAATCTCTCATATATTTAATAATCGTTTCTACGGTTTGTTATAAAAACTTTGTATATATTTGAAGCAAAACTAAAAAATAATGCGAAAATTGTTGAATACGTCAGTCATATTAGGCCAGAGTGTTAGCTCAGGTATCTATGAAATTAACCCAATGTAATGATAGCATATGTATGTGCTTTTAAGCACCGATAGGATATTCGTAACGACAAGAGGTCAGTCGTGGGATGAAAAATGAGGGAAAACAACAAAAATATTACTGAAACGAAGAGCCGATATTTTAATGACAACACCCTCTCTCTCTCTCTCTCTCTCTCTCTCTCTCTCTCTCCTTCTGCTCAGTAAATATTCAATTGAAAATTCAACTGATCCGACAGATTTACAATACAAGTGAATCATTGGCTTTAACTCAGAGGATAACTGGGCTTAAAGACAGA